GATTTTCTACAAATTGTTCTGCGCGAGCTCGGCGTCACAAAAGTCGGATTTCCAACATCGCCGTTAACCAACATCGCCGTTAGCGCGGCCTTGGTGGAGGCCCGGCATTGGCCATAAACGTCCACGAGCCCCGACCGACTTTCTCTCAGAGGAGGAGGAGGGGGAGGAAGAGGTACCCATACCGCTACCCTTCCCTCGGTGTCCTCCTCGTTTGGGGGCTCCTGGGAGGCCCTCGTCGCCACCGCCAGATTCGCTTCGAAATATTGGTCAGAACGCACCATGGGACAGGTCGGAGGAATTGGCGGTACCTGTGCCTTTTGGTTTCCACATCCTCCTCGCCCGTATCCTGTACGCGCTTGCGTTCTCCTGGCGCCGACACGCCGGACACACTTCGCGCGACCAGAAAGGGCTCGCTTGCATCGGGGCTGCTTTCGCCCGTGGGCCCCAGGGCCCCGACCTACTTCCTGATTATTGCTACGAGCCTCTTTCCGTGCTCGATGCCCAGCTTGGGCCTCTCGCTCCGTCCCGCGGCCCCGTCGGGGGGGGGGGGGCCCTGCTTCTCCCGGGGCCTCCCGTCGCTCGGCCTGACAGCCCCCCCCCCCCGCCCATCTCCTCCGCCCCCTCCTCCTCCTCCCCCTCCTCCTCCTCCTCCTCCTCCTCCTCCTCCTCCTCCTCCTCCTCCTCCTCCTCCCTTGGGGCACACGCGGGCCTCATGACGGATCCGAGGGTTTGCGTTGAAGGTCTTTTTGCTGCCTCCAGCGCCGGGCGCCAGGGGGTGTGGGGGCGCAACGGGGCCCCGGGGACCGCCACACAGCGATTTCGGGAGGAGCGCTCAGCCCTGGGAGAGGTGGTGGTGAGTCGGAAAAAAAGCGGCGGCGATCGTTGGTCTCGACCCGTCTAAGGATTGCGGGCAGTATTTTTTTTCCATATCCAGAGCGTCTTGGACATGTGCCGCAACGCCGAGGCGCACTGGGTATGGATAAAATCAAGCCTCTTGGGGCCAGATTTTTATCCAGTGCGTCCCCGGTTTCTGGGGAAGAGAGCCCAAGACTCCAAGACGCACTGGATGTGGATATAAGCATTGCCCGCAAGGATGTGGGCGGCAGGCAGCAACAGCAAAACATTTCAAGGTCCTCCGTCCCCCACCCCTCCTCCTCCTGCCCCTGCCCCTCTGCAGCCGTTCTGGCTCCAGGGTTATCGCACGAGCAGGTCAAGGAGTGACAGCCTCCAGAAAGCCGAACAGCACCAGATACACCTTCTCACTTATCGAAGACGCCTCCGGCGAGGCGCCGCCGCCCCGTGCCTTTTGGAAGCGCTTCTGTGGCGAAGTGTGGGGCAAAGGACGGCCACGCCAGTGAACGGCGACTTCCCCAAGACGTTGGGGAGAGATCGAGGAGAGCACTTTGGATGGACCGTCTTGGGCCGTCCTGGGGCGATGTTGGGGATCCTTTCTTGGGGGCCTCCTGAGGCCCCCTTGGGCCTTCGTGGGTCTCTCTGGAGCCGTCTCAGGGCGCTCAGGGGCAGTCTGTCGCCTTCAGGGCTGTCTTGGGGGCCTCTCTGGGGAGCCTTGGGTTTTTGTTGAAGTCGTTTAGAAATGACATGGGTTAGAGGTCTTTGGTTTCCTCCAAAAACGACGCAAATCCTTCCCAAACCCTCCCGGAACCCTCCGACAAGCCTCCCGGAAGCCTTCCAGAAGGGTGCTCGGAGGGTTTCGGGAGGGTTTGCGTCGTGTTGAAATAAAACCAACCCCTAGCGAACCCTGAGCTTCCTGGGGCCCTCTGGGGCGAAAACCATCGAGGACCAGCCTGGACCATCGAGCAAAAATAACACGCACGAAACCGAAACATGCGCGGAAAATGGACGTCCGAGCGACGGCAAGTTGACTTCTTTGGCCGTCTTCGGTCCTGGAGGCCTCTGGGGCCGTCTCGAGGCCGTGGTGTGCTCCGCGCTGGGGCCCTCTTGACCCATCTTGGAGTCGACTTGGGCCAACTCGGCGGCTCTCTTTGGACTCTCTGGGGCCGTCTTCCCAGACCCCCTCGAGTTGTGAAAAAAATCACCACGGGAGGCTTTTCACTATTTTCGGCCTCTGGGGGGCAGTTGCCGGCCCTCGGGGCCATCGAAAAACGACTCAGGACGAAAAGCTGGTCCCGGGGAATGGGTCCAGACCGCTGGGGGTCGGCGTCGTGGAACAAAGCATGACGTCGGGGGTCTGGGTTGGAGGCCATCGTGGACCACCTGGACCCGTCTGGGCAGCCATGTTGCGGTACCCTGGCAATCTTGGAGACGATGCGTCTGGACTTTCCGGGCTGTGTCTGCGGCGAGCCCGGGGGGAAGTGAGAAGGAGAAGGCTCCCTCAAAAGGCTTCACAAAGTCCCCTGGCCTTCTGAGAAGTTGTCCTAGCCTTCCCCGCAGACACAGAAAAAGCTTCTCTGAAGGCGCGAGGACTTCCGAGACGCCCCGCCGCCTTCTGAGATGGCCCGCTCATTCTTCTTGCTTCCCTCCCTCGCCTGCTTGGGAAGAGACCTCACATATAGGAGGGCCACAGACATGAGGGATAAGAGGCTTCTTCTGCAGATGACCAAGCCAAACCGCCTTCTGAAAAGGCCTGCTCCTTCTCACTCTCCCCCCCTTGCACACACTCCTCCTCCTCCTCCTCCTCCTCCTCCTCCTCCTCCTCCTCCTCCTCCTCCTCCTCCTCCTCGCTCCCCCCCCTCGCGTTCCGCCGATGTGCGTCAGTTTCCGCGGGGTCGGCGGGCCGGGCCGATAAAGTCACCGGGCACCTCTCCCCAGCGCCCCTCCACAGGTCACGGGGCCGGCGGATGTCGAAGACGCCTGCGAACCACCGCCGCCCCCCCCTCCCTCCCTCCCTCCCTCCCTCCCTCCCTCCCTCCTCCCTCCTCCTCCTCCTCCTCCTCCTCCTCCTCCTCCTCCTCCTCCTTCTCCTCCCCCTCCTCCTCCTCCTGGAAGCGCCCCTGCGGCCCAACGCTGGGCCGAAGTCTGGCCAAGCTGTTGGGCGATGTGTCCCCCCGGCCGTGTTGGACCCCCTCGGGGGGAACACCAGGGAAAGGAAGAGAAAGCAGGAGAAGGAGGAGGAGGAGGAGGAGGAGGAGGAGGAGGGGCGAGGAACGATGAGGAGGAAAAGTAAGCATAGGAGGCCTCTTGAGGTCGTCTTCGGGCCTCCTGGGCTCCCTGGGAGCCTCTTGGGGGCCTCTTAGGGATCTCTTGGGGGCCTCCTGGGGCTTCTTTCGGGCTTCTTCGGGGTCTCTCTGGGCCTCTCTGGGCAGTCGTGGGTCCCTCCTTGGAGATCACGTAATGGCTTCTCGGGGGCCTTCGGGGCCGTCTTGGGTGCATCTTGACCCATACTGGAGACATCCTAGGATCATCGGGGCCATCTCGGAGTCCATTTTGGCTGTCTTGAAAGCTGTCTGGGGGCCGTCTTGAGCAGGAAGGCCGAAGACCCAGGAAATTTCCGCGGCTCTCCCGGTGGCCGGCGGGTGGGGCCGAATTCAAACATCCATGGCGTTGGGCACGCCCTTGCGAAGACTAACAGGGGAACGGCGGATATTCGAAGCCTTTTGCTCATCCTGCCACCGTGCCTTGGTCGTGGACAGAAGGCCTGTTCGGCACATCTTAAGATCTCTTAGGAGGCCTTTCGGGGTCTTCCTGAGGCATTTCCCGATCGCAGCCGGAAGGGACCGAAAACAAGTATTCGGCACCGATCGCAACCAGTTGTGATCGGCCCCTACGGGTTGCAAAACGTGCGCCCTCGAATACATAGTGTAGTACCGCACGGGTTATCAGCATGGCTTCATGATAGGGTCAATTCCCTTAAGTGAGTGCTTTGTATTTCAAAAGGCCACTTGCGATCTGGTCGTGTTGCAACGGGTTCGTGTTCGTTTCTGAAAGGCGAGTGAGCTACGACTGGCTATACTTGCATACACATGGGGCAGTGGTCTCAGTAGTGGAACTGCAGCTGATCGTCCGAAGTGCTGCACAGTCTAATGTATGATCTGAATGTTCGATCACTGTGGAACGTGCCAAAAGGAATCCCCGCCAATCCTTACAAGGAGTTCTTGCGAATCAGTTCGGACCGCAATCGAACCCGTTGGATGCCCCACGAATCCCCCGAGGAATCCTTACGCATCCCTAAGAAGCCCGAGCGATGCCCCCCCAGAACCCCACCAGAAACCACTCCAAAACATTGTGCAGATGCTCGTGCAGAGGCTCGTGTAGAGGTTCGTGTAGAGGTTCGGAAGAGGCTCGGAAGAGGCCTCGCAAAGGCTCGATAAGGTTACTGCATGTTTTTAGTAGGTTGTAATCCGACCGATTCGGGTTCTTGTAGTCGGTGCCTGCTTTTGTTACTGGACAGTCCGGAGTGGTTGTAATATGGCTTATTATGCTATGGCTTCCTGGTAGCCTAAAAGAGGCCTCCCTGGGGCCTCTTGAACGTCCCTCGGGGGCCTTTCTTGAGCTTCACAGATGAAACTTTGGAGGCCCGCTTGCGGTCTCGGCATCTTGGAGCACTGGGCTCGAAATGCCAGTTCGGGTCCCCAATTGTTTGGCCACTCTTGGGGCCGTCTTGAGGGCGCCTGGGGCCCCCTGGGAGAACTCGGGAGGCGTCTTAGGGTAACCCTGGGGGCCTCTTGTGGCCGTCTTGGACGCTTTTCACACGGAAAAGGCGAGCATGCGAGACTCATCAAAAACAGACAGATGATGTTCAGTGATATGTGCATCTTGGGCTGGCCCCCAGAGGCCCCCAGGAGGGCTCCAGGACGGAATATGGCACCATCTTGGGCCATGTTGGAAGTGTGGGTTCCATACCAGGAGCCCGAGGCTATTGAATAGTCACTCGTGCGAGACAACCAAACGCCCTGGAGCGCCCGTGTGTCCCTGGCCCCTTCCAGAGTCACTTGCAATACCGGGCGCAGAGAACTCGGAGGGACTTGGGCGGCGGATACTCAGCGTGAAGTCCGAGCCGAAGGCCCGGTAGCGGTCAACAGATGGACTCTCCAGGCGGCGCGATCTCGAGGAGGCCATTGTTTGTGGCGGTCGTGTTGTTTCCAGAGTTTGAGCTGCTGGACGTGGCCGCGCCGGGCGAGCTCCTGGGAGCAGACGGAGGGCACTTCCGCCTGGCCTACTGCGCCGAGCACCCGGAGACGCCCGTCCGCTCCAGCTGCATGCAGCTACGGAACTCGGCCACGCGCAGAGGGGGGGTAGGGGAAGGGGGGAAGGCTTCTCAGAAGCACCCCTGCTTCTTGGAAGGCGCGGGCCTTCTCTACAGATGTAAGGCCGGCGCCTTCTAAGAAGAATCGTCCTCCTTAGAAGTTTTCCCCCCTCCTCCTATCCCCCCTTGTGCGCGCCGCCAAGGAACGGCACCGCGGGTCCGAGCTGGGTCGCGACGCACAGGTTGGTCCTCGACGGTGGGCAGGCCAGGGTCGCGAGGGTGCAGCGCGAGAGCCAGGGAGCTCTGGCCGGCGATCCGCAAGGGGAGGAGGCTGCGGCCGAGGATCATCGAGGACAAAAGAACACCTAGCCCTACTGACATATCGAAGACGTGGCCGCACTTAGATCCGTCCCCGTCTTTGCACCAGGGGTAACCATTCTTGGCGGCTTGGTTTGGTAATCTGCAGAGAAAGCTTCCCGTCCCTTTTATGGGGGTCTTTCGATTGCGAACCAGAGAAGGAGCCCGACGAGCTGGTCCCAGACGTGGTCCTGGTGCCGGGCGGCAAGGGCGTGCGGCAGGAGGTGGGCAACGAGTTCCTGAAGGAGTGGCTGAAGATCCGAGGTCCAAACCGCGGCACGGGCCACAGACTTTCCAGACGCTCGTCTGGGGGACCTTCCTGGGGCCCACTAGCGGATCTGTTCGACCCTATAGTTCGACCCCAGCTCAACTCAGCTTCGGCGAAAGGTCGAGTTTGGTTCGGCTCAGGTTCGACTCGAGGTCGACCTGGATCGACGGACGTTCGGCGCAGCTTCGACGCACGAGTGGAGCCAGCGGCCCCAGGAAGGTCCCCAGAATGCACGTCCAAGACGTTCGGAGGCCCGCGCGGTCTCCCTGCGTCGCCGCCAGGAGTCGTGGGGCCTCGCACGGTCGCCTCTGGGCGATCCTGTGGGCCTCTTGAAGCGTCTTGGAGCGTCGGGGGGGCCGAAGTGGCGGAACCTTCTTTGTTTTCGGGCGTCTTGGGCCTCCCGGGCCGGGCCAGGGGGGCCCAGCGCCGATCAAAGAATCGACTACGCGTAAGAGTGACCTTTCGCTGGAGTGACCTTTGGTGCGGGCTCATCGGGCGCCCCCCGATCGCCGAGCGCGATGCGATATTAGCGGCCCGCGCCCTTGGGTTTGGCTTCCTCGCGCCCCCAAAAGCTGCGCGCCAGAGGTCACTCTTACCCAGGGTCACTCCTAATGGCTAGCCGAAAGAAGTCCGCTCGGAACCCTGAGAAACGATGCATTCGCGGTTTTGCCGTTCCTCTTCAATGCGTAACGTACCCATGCGTCCGCGTACCCACGGGATCGCGTTCGGGAATCCAGGCCGCGAGGACGTGGATATGGATACGCTCGCCGCTCCGGAAGACGCCCACTTCCCCACACTCCTCGAGCGCGCCGACGGCGCCGCCGCGGGTGCCGCGCCGTGTGTGTGTGTGTGTGAATGTGCGTGTTGTTGTTGTTGTTGTTGAACATTATTAATTCTAAAGAATAATTATTGTTGGGACCCCTGGTGCACGGCCCCCCCGCCGCGCCTAGGCCGCAGCTACATTTTCATCATTTTTCGCGAAAGCTTCAGAAAAGTGGATGGGGTCCAGATCCGGTTGTTTTGTTGTAATCCGTTTTCCCTTGCAAAAAACACTATAAAATGACATTTCTTGTTCTAATATAATCAAATTTCAAGAATCCCTTGCAAAAAATAAGGTAAAGTGGACATTCGCGCGCGCAAGACGAAATCCTTCCAAAAGCTTAGTGTTCGGAGCGATTTTAACATAAAAACATCAAAAAACCAATGGTTTTTCAACAAAAAAATGTCAAAATCTCATCCCGCGCGCTCTTGCGGATTCGTAGGAAAACCAACACTTTTTAAACATTTCTGTCAAACGGGCTTTTGCGAGCAACTTTTTCGAACTTCTGCGACAACGGTTGCGCACCTGCCAGGGCCATCATCCCTGTCAAATAATACCATGCGGGACACATTCGACCAACCATATCCTCTCTCTCTTGTGTATTCCCACATCCTTCAGGAATTTGCCCTAAAGATGTGATCAACTATCTTGTGAGTACGTATCATGTGTATCATGTGTATCATGTACCATATGCATCATATGCAACAGATGTTCTGTGGAAGGCTTAACAACTTCTGTGGGTTAACAAGGCTTAACAACTTCTGTGGGTGTACGAACGTAGGCTTAACAACTTCTGTGGGTGTGTACTCCACGCCAGTGTAGTAGCCACGGTCGTCCGCAGGCCACGAAGTGAAGTGTCCGAACGTCATAGGGCGGGAAGCTGGGTGTGGGTGGTGGCGAAGAGTCGTGTGGATATTTGGTAGAGCTTGCACTGCCCCCCCACAAAGTGGGGGTATTGGCTGGCGTCGCATGAAAACCCTGGCACTGGTGAGAACACTGAGCGTTCGGGTAAAGTGATTGTTGTTGTTGTTGTTGTTGTTGTTGTTGTTGTTGTGGTTGTGGTTGTTGTTGTTGTTGTTGTGGTTGTTGTTGTTGTTGTTGATGTTGTTATTGTTGTTGTTGCTGCTGTTGCTGTTGCTGTTGTTGTTGGTATTATTATTATTGGTATTGCTGTTATTGGTGTTGGTGGTGTTGTTCTTGCTGGTGCTGTCGGTGTTGTCGTTGCTGCTGTTGGTGTTGTCGTTTGTGTTGTTGTTGTTGTTGTTGTAGTTGTAGTTGTCGTTGTTTGTGCTGCTGCGGCTGTTGTTGTTGTGAATCCCCACGACTGACGAATAATTATTATTGATCCCATCTCTGGTGACCACTGCGTTTTTCAATTGAAGTGCTTCCCCCGGGGCTCGCACCCATTTTTCTGTAAAACAAAATCTGGGAATGTCACTCGGGTCAAACTGCGTAGTTGGCTCCTAGATTACAACAACGGCTCCCGCCTGAGATTTCCTCACAATGTAGCCAGGACCCCCGCTCCCGCATGAGACTTCCTCGCGTGTTATTCAGGAATCCCGCTCTTGCTTGGGACCTCCTTACAACATCTTTAGGAATCGTTTTCTCGGCGTTCTGGAGTCGCGCTCTCGGTGAAGACTTGCTTGCAATGTATTCAAAGATCGCGTTCTTGCGTTGGAATGTCCTGCGATTTCTTCAAACGCCGCGCTCCCGACGCTCAGGCACCCAGGAGTCGCGCTCACGCTTAGGATCCCCTCGCAGCTTACTTCGGAATCGAGATCTCGCTACCCTCCGTGGCCCCGTTGCAGCCCTTCGTGGCCCCCTCGCTGCCCTTCGTGGCCCTGTTCCAGCCCTTCGCGGCCCGCTCGGTGCCCTTCGTGGCCCCGTTGCAGCCCTTCGTGGCCCCCTCGCTGCCCTTCGTGGCCCCGTTGCAGCACTTCGTGGCCCCCTCGCTGCCCTTCGTGTCCCCGTTGCAGCACTTCGTGGCCCGCTCGCTGCGCTTCGTGGCCCCGTTGCAGCCCTTCGTGGCCCCCTCGCTGCCCTTCGTGGCCCCGTTGCAGCCCTTCGTGGCCCCCTCGTTGCCCTTCGTGGCCCCGTTGCAGCCCTTCGTGGCCCCCTCGCTGCCCTTCGTGGCCCCGTTGCAGTCCTTCGTGGCCCGCTCGCTGCCCTTCGTGGCCCCGTTGCAGCCCTTCGTGGTCCGCTCGCTGCCCTGCGTGGCCCCGTTGCAGCTCTTCCTGGCCCCCCCGCTGCCCTCCGTAGCCCCCTATATATACACAGATATAGATATATCTTTATATGCATATATGTATGCCCATCGTGGCCCTGGCTCGTTTGCGCCCGTCGCGGCCCCATCTGCATGCGCTTCGTGGCCCCGCTGTCTCCCTTCGCGGCCCCGTTGCAGCCATTCGTGGCGCTGTTGCTGCCCTCAGTGGCTCCGTCCTTGCCGTCCGCGGCCCAATGTACGCATGCCCTTCGTGGCCCCCGCTCGTTAGCGCCCGTCGTGGCCCCATCTGCATGCCCTTCGTGGCCCTGCTGTCGCCCTTTGTGGCCCCCTCGCTGCCCTACGTGGCCCCGTGGCTTCCCTCAGTGACCCCGTCGTTGCCCTCTGTGGCCCCGCATTATCTGCCTTTCGTGGCCCCCGCTCGTTCGCGCCCTTGGTGGCCCCATACGCATGCCCTTACAGTAGAGGTACGACTGTCTCCCTTTCGTGGCCGCCTTGCTGCCCTTCGTGGCCCCATCATTGCCCTTCGTAGCCCCGCTGCCGCTCTCGCCCTCGCTCTCGCTTTCGCTCGTCGTCGTCGTCGTCGTCGTCGTCGTCGTGGTCGGTCCCTTGTCCGTCCCTCTTGGGGTCGGGTTGCCGCCGGTCAGCGCTGCCGCTGGCCAGGCCGACGCTCCGCGGCTGCCCCGCCGCTTGCCGGGGCCAGGCCTGCCGGTAGGGAGGGTTTGGGAAATACACGTTGAATGACACTCGAGCAGATAAGAGCGAGCAGTCTCAATATAATTGTTGCTGTTGTTTTCTTCGTTGAATTCTAATGATTCAACAGTTACTATTGTTGGATCCCTTACAGGCGCCCTGGCGCTCTCGCCGAGGCGCCGGCTGCATTTGCATTGAACATGAGGCTCACTCTCAAGCGGCTTGGGGGGCCGCCAAAACCGGCCCCCAAACAACAACAACGATCCCGTTCGAAACATCCTCCTGTTTTACTCAGGGCCGAAGCTCTTGCTCGTCGCCGAAAGCAGCCGTTTCGACAGAACCAGCGCTCCTGCTCGAGATTTCCTCCCGTTTTACTTTGGACAGGCGCGCTACTCTTTCTCTCATCGGCGCCGCCCCCCAGCAACAACAACGCTCCCGCTCGAGGCCTTCTCCCTTTTTTACTGAAGACGGTGCTCTTGCTCGCCGCCGACAGCCCCCGTCCCGACATAACCAGCGTTCCCGCCCGAGATTTCATCCCGTTTTACGTTGGACTGGCGCCCTTTTCTCCTCCTCCTCCTCCTCCTCCTCCTCCTCTCTCCTCCTCCTCCTCCTCCTCCTCCTCCCTCCTCCTCTGTCCTCGTCGTCCTCCTTTTCCTCCTCCTCCTCCTCCTCCTCCTCCTCCTTTCTCTCCTCCTCCTCCTCCTCCCTCCTCCTCCTCCTCCTCCTCCTCCTCCTCCTCCTGCTCCATCCTCCCCCCTCCCTCCTCTTCCTCCCTCTTGGTTCCTCCACCCCTTCCTCTTCTCCCTCCTCCTCCTCCTCCTCCTTCCCTCTTCCTCTTCCTCCTCCCTCCCCCCTTCTCCTCCTCTCCTCCTCCTCCTCCTCGTCCTTCCTCCTCCTCCTCCTCCTCCTCCTCCTCCTGATTTCCTCCTCTCCTCCTCCTCCTCCTCCCTCCCTCCTCCTCCTCCTCCTTCCCCCCCTATATTCCTCCCTCTTTCTCCCTCCCCGCCTTCTCTTCTCCCTTCTCCCTCCTCCCTCTCCCGTCCCTCTTTTCTAGCTCCTCCTCCCTCCTCCTGTCCCTTTTCGTCACCCTTGTCTCCTCCCTCCTCATGCCTCCCTCCTCCCTCCTCCCTCCTCCCTTCCCCTTCCGTCCTCCCTCGTCGCTTCCGTTTGATACTAAATCACCTTTTGCTCCAGACTGGGGCCCTCGTGTCGGCATCGCTTCTGGGGGGGTTCCAAGCGTCCTTGTTGAAGTTTAATTCTTAAAATCACTATCATTTTTGGGGGAGCATAGATAATGTGGAGGAGGAGGAGAAGGAGGAGAACGGATGACTTCCAGGGGCTCCAAGGATCGAGGATCGAATGATTGACTTCAGGGATTCCTTGGGAGGGTGCGGAGGGGCAGGTGGAAGATGCGAGCATGGGAGCGGCAGCGCCTCGGGGCGTGGACGTTCAGGGTCACGCGCCGGGGCCGCAGGATGGTGGCATAACAGATCGGGCGAGGAGTAAGAACCACTTCGTCTTCGGAGGCACTGGTACTACAACTACTCCTCCTTCCTACCCCTCCTCCTCCTCCTCCATCATCCATCCATCCATCCATCCATCCATCCATCCGTTCTCCTCCTCCTCCTCCTCCTCTCCGTCTTCCTCTCCCTCATCTTCCCTCCCCTCCTCGTCCTCTTCCTCCCCCTCCGAGATGCGGTGCGCGCGCGACGCGATTGCGATGGCGATGTGCCGTCCGAACTGTGGGCGTCGAAGTTCGTCGGAAGAGGTGGTGGCACATATTTTCTTGGGCGGGAGATATGGGCGAGGGAACATCGGGCCCCGCAGGCCAGAAACATCATCATGATGGGGCGTGGTATCCAGAAAGACCCATGTGACGTGCGGAAGCATGACGCACGGTGGTAAACTGAATGTCGTTGTCGCTGCGGTCGTGGTTGATGTTGCTGTTGTTGTTGCTGTTGTTGTTGCTGCTGTCGTTGCTGCTTTTGTCGTTGTCGGCGTTGTTGTTGTTGGTGATGTTGTCTCGTCGTCGTCGTTGTTGTTGTCGTCGTCGTTGAGGTCGAGGTTGCTGCGGCGGCTGTTGGTGTTGCCGTTGTTGTTGGTGTAGGTGTTTGTGGTGGTGTTGTTGTTGTTTGTTTGTTTGTTTGTTTGTTTGTTTGTTTGTTTGTTTGTTTGTTGTTTTTGTTGTTGTCGTTGTTGGTGTCGTTGCCGTTGTTTGTGCTGGTGGTGTTGTGATTGTTGTTTTTGTTGTTGGTGTTACTGCTGCTGCTATTGCTGTTGCCGTTGTTGTTGCACCTGTTGCGTGGATGCGTGGATGCGTTTGCGGAATGGGCCCACGGCCAAACCGGGGCTTCCGCGCGGCGGCTCCGAAGGGGCCCCGCGCCCGTGATTCGCGCGATTGGCCCTCCATGGGAGACCGTGGCCTCCGCCCCGCAGACGCGGGCCGTCTTCTCGGAGGAGTGGCAGCGGGAGGCACGGTCGGACCGAGGCATAGGATCGAGATCGCGCCTCTTCTTCCTCCGCCTCCTTTTCCTCCTCCTCCTCCTCCTTTTCCTCCTCCTCTTTCTCTTCCTCCTGCTCCGCCTCCTCCTCCTCTTCCTCCTCCTCCTCCTGCTCCTCCTCCTCCTCATCATCATCATTGTCATCATCATCCGACTTCTCCTCATCCCGTTCCTCCGCCTCCTTCTCCTCCTCCTCCCCCTCCTCCTCCTCTTTCTCCTCCTC